AATTGGTCCATTTTATCTTTATTGTCAACTTTATGGGTGTATAGTTATTTGTAGTATTCTCATTATGCTTTTTAAAAAAAATATTTTTTTTATTGATTTCAGAGAGGAAGAGAAAAGGAGAGAGAGATAGAGACATCAATGATGAGAGAGAGCCATTGATCAGCTGCCTCCTGCACACCCCACACTGGGGATCAAGCCCGCAACCCAAGCATATGCCCTGACCAGGAATTGAACCGTGACCTCCTGATTCATAGGTTGATGCTCAACCACTGAGCTACACTGGCTGGGCTCATTATGCTTTTTATATTGGTAATGTGTTAAAGAAAAAACACACAACGATCATAAATTTTGAAAAGATCTGGTTGGTTTTATTCAGCAATTCATGAATCTGGCAGCATCCAGTCTAGAGATAGAGTGGAGCTCTCAAAGAGTCATATGAAGTGAGAGGCTTATAGACCAAAGTGAGTAGGAGCAAGGAAGTTACACTGGGCATTTGCTGATTGGGTAGAGCAGAGTTACTTTCCTTATATGGAGAGAAGAGATGTCTTGCAGTCCAGTTAGGTAACTTGTACTGAGCAAGCAAGTGCTGACTGTTTGGCTTAGGCCTTTCTTTTCTTGGAGAGCCAATCATAGAAACCTAGTTAAGTTCCAGTTTGTTGAACTTATCATAAGTGACTCCATCTTGATCCTAAGCTGGACACTTCAACAATTGATAATACCCTCTCATTCCTGTTGTCAGTTTTTCTTCAATCTTGCTAGAGCTTTATCAGTTTTATTAATCTTTTTAAAGACCAAATGTTTGTTTTTCTGTTTTTATTTTCAATTTTATCTTTCTGTTTTTATTCCTTCTACTTGGTTTGGTTTTTTGTTCTTTTCTAGATTTTTGTTGTTAATCCTCACGGGAGGGAGACGGGGAGAGAGAGACAGACAGACATCGATTGGTTGGCTCCTACATGCACCCCAGCCAGGGCCAGGAATCTAGACCATGACCCTTCGGTTCACAGACTGGCACTCTAACCAGTGAGCACACTGGCTAGGGCTTTTCCAGCCTCAAGGTAGAAGCTCTAAATTACTGATTTGAGACCTTACTCATTTTGTGATACAAGTGTTTTTTTTTTAAATATATTTTTATTGATTTCAGAGAGGAAGGGAGAGGGAGAGAGAGATAGAAACATCAATGATGAGAGAGAATCATTGATTGACTGCCTCTCACACGCCCCACATGGGATCCGGCCCGAAACCCGGGCATATGCCCTGACCGGGAATCAAATCGGTGACCTCTTGCTTCCTGGGTCAATGCTCAACTGCTGAGTCACACCCGGCTGGGCTGATACAAGTTCTTAATGGTGTAAATTTCCCTCTAAGGGGGTTCTGCATTCAATTCTAATGTAGGGGGAAGGGTCCCCACAACAAAAAGCATTTCTTTGACACCAGTTGGGTGTTTTACAGTCTAACTGAATTCTGACACTTTCTGTAGATAGCATCAGCCTCTTAAGTTAAGGAGTTAGTCCTACAAGACTGCTGCCCCCTCACCCTTACTGATCCATAGGTCACAAGTTCAGGTTTATCACCTGATCTTCTTATGGACCAGCTATAGATTGAAGGTTCCAACAGCTCCCTCCTTGGGTTTAATTAATTCGCTAGAGCAGCCCATCGGACTCAAGGAAACTTTCTACTTTACTAGATTACCCATCTATATATATATATATATATGGCTGATATGCTAAGTGTTCGTCCAGCTGGTCGCTATGACACGCACTGTCCATGAGTGGGCAAACGCTCAAACCAGGAGCTGCCATGATGCACACTGGCCATTTACAGAGAAACAGCGCCACAGACCTGGCGCCCGGAAAGCAACATTCGGCTTCCCCCAAGTGGGACACAGGCCCCACCACCACCCCAGAGCGACAGCCCACCAAATTGCAGGCAACGCTACCAAGACCCCATGGCGCAAAATGCAACCCAGCCTGGAAGTGGTCGCTGTCAATTCCACTGTCCACTTGTTTATTCTGCAGGGTTAGTTCTCCCTCCAGCTCTTTGAAGGGCAAGTCTTAATAACTTTGCTGATCGCTTTCAGGAAGTAACATTATTTTCAAGAACTTTATTCAGAGTTAAAGGTTTCCCTCCTTGCCCACCTCAGGCCCCCTACCAGCTGAGGGAGGAAAGGAGAGAGAGAGAAACATTGACATGAGAGAGATACATCAATTGGTTGCCTCCTGCTTGCCCCTCATTGGGGATCAAGCCAGCAGTCTGAGTATGTGCCCTGACCAGGATTCAGACTGGCAACCTCTTGGTTCATGGTTGATGCGCAACCACCGAGCCACACTGGCTGGACTGATACCTTTTTTATTTAGAGAAAATTTACAAAAGCATTCCCCCAAATTGCTTTGTTTTGCATTTATTACAGTACCAACTATTTTTTGTAGTTATTTAACTTAGATACAATAATTGGCGTACATAGCTGTATGTTTTTGCATTGGAAAAGTATTGTGTTTTAAGAGTCAGAAGACCCAGATCCAGCTTTGGTTGTCATTTGTTAGTCATTTAACTTATCTGAGCGTTAGTTTTATCCTTACCAAAGGGCTAACATAAGCCTCCCCGATTTCACACAGAAGGTATAAAAAGTGGTTAGGGGAAGGTACTATAAAAACTGAAGCATAATTAGATTGCTACATTAAAAGTATTTGAGGATTTTAGTTATTTATGTTTTTAGTAAATAAATGTAAAATCTGACATTGGCAAACCAGTTGTCCTTTTATTTTAAGGAAAATCCAGTCAGTTGATTGATTACTAAACATTTTTTTTACATAAATTTACTTCTGAAAAGGTTTTATTGTATTAGTTACCTAAATAACAATAATAACTGCCTTTATTTGTTGAGCATTCACAAAGTGCTAAATACTATGCATTTAATGCATATATTATTTCACTTAGTTCTCATAACAACCATTGAGGAATTGTTGAAGACAGAATCTAGGCTATCACATTCTAAAACCTGGACTCTTAAACCCCTACATTGATTCACTTTATGTCCTAAATGGGACAGTATATGGCACTGAAGTTAAATAAGGACTAGAAGGCTGCTTGGATTTGAATCCTGGGTCTGCTACTTAAGAGTTATTTTACTTCAGCAAGATAATTAACCCTTTTCTGTCAAACAGGGATAATAACGCACCTACTGGTAGAGACCATGACAGACAAATAAAATATCAAAAGTGAAGCAGTTAAAGCTAGGCAGTTCATTAAAACAGTAGCTCATAGACTCCACTGATAAGACAGGTAGAGGGAATTAAAAAATTTTGTTTATATGTGAAGTTTTTATAAAAAGGTTTAACTTACTTTTTTATTAAATGTATTGGGGAAACATTGGTTGATATTATATAAATTTCAGGTGTACATTATAATTCGGCATCTGTGTACTGTTGTGTGCTCTCGTCTCCTCTGTCGCTATATGTCTGACCCCCTTTATCCTCTTCGCCCTCCCACGACAACTCTTCCCCTCTGGTAACCACATTCTGTTGTGTGTGTTTTCTATTGTATATCCCACACATGCGTGAAATCATAAGGTTCTTGTTTTTTTCCATCTGATTTATGTCACTTAGCATAATACTCAGGATCCATCCATGTTTTTGCAGAGTAATATTCTATTGTATACAGGGTAGGGCAAAAGTAGGTTTACAGTTGTTTGTATGGAAAATAATACAATAATCCCGTATAATAAAAGCCTAATATGCAAATTGACCGAATGGAGGAACAACCGGTCACTATGATGCGCATTGACCACCAGGGGGCAGACGCTCCGTGCAGGAGCTGCCCCCAGCCCACAGGACCCAGGCCAGTCAAGGCAGGTACCAGCGGGGGCCCCCCAATTGCCCTGCTAGTCACCCCACAGATCGGCCCTGATCGCCGGCCAGGCCTGGGGAACCTACCTGTGCCTGAATTTCGTGCATCAGGCCTCTAGTTAAATAATAATACAGGAATAAATGCATCTTTAAGAATAAGTGTTTTCAAACTTTTGGTTAAATACCCAGAAGTGAGTAGTATTACTGGGTCATGTGGAAGTTCTGTTCTCAATATTTTGAGGAACTTCCATACTGTTTTCCATAATGGCTGTACCAATTTAAATTTCCACCAGCAGTATGCAAGGGTTCCGTTTTCTCCACATCCTCTTCAATACTTGCTGTGTTGTTGTTTTTTAAATAATAGCGTTCTAATAGCTGTGACATAGAATCTCATTGTGGTTTTGATTTGCATTTCCCTAATAAGTAATGATGTTGAATATCTTTCCATAGATCTGTTGGCCATCTGTATGTCTTCTTTGGAAACATCTTTCCATAGATCTGTATGTCTTCTTTGGAAAAGTATTCAGGTCATCGTTTTAAATCAGATTTTTTGTTTAGTTGAATGAGTTTTGTCTATTTTGGATATTAGTCCCTTATTGGAAGTATCATTTGCAAATAATCTTCTCTCATTTGGTTGATTGCCTTTCTGTTTTGTTGTTGGCTTCTTTTGCTGTGCAGACATTCTTTAGTTTGATGTAGTCCCATTTATTTATTTTTGCTTTTTGTTCCCCTTGCCTTTGGAGTCCAGTTCATAAAAACATCTCTGAGACCAATATCCATAAGCTTAGTTAGTGCTTATGTTTTATTTTGTGCATTTTATTGTCAGGTCCTACATTCAAATCTTTAATTCATTTTGAGTTAATTTTTGTGTATAGTGTAAGATCATAGTCTAGTTTGGTTCTTTTGCATATGGCTGTCCAGTGTTTCCAACGTCATTTATTGAAGAGATTTTTCCTTTATTGCCTATTCTTGGCTTCTTAGTTGAAAATTCGTTGCCCATATATGTGTGGAGGAATGTTTAATATATTCTCTACCTTGAACTTTCTCACTGCCATCTTTTAGCTTTTTGATTTAGCATAGTGGCTACATGAAAACTATCTAAATTACCTATTATGACTACTAAACTATCAATTAATGCTTATTTTATGTATTTTTTAGGTCATTCCTGATTCATTTGCATCCTTGAAGAGCATCTGTAGAAGAGGAAGGAAAAGATGGGTGTGAAAACATTTACTCATAGCTCTTCTTCCCACAGTCAGGAAATGCTTGGAAAGCTAAACATGCTGCGAAATGATGGACATTTCTGTGACATCACTATTCGTGTCCAGGACAAAATCTTCCGGGCACATAAGGTGGTACTAGCAGCTTGCAGTGATTTTTTTCGCACTAAACTTGTAGGCCAAGCAGAGGATGAGGACAAGAATGTGTTGGATTTACATCATGTTACAGTGACTGGTTTTATCCCCCTTCTAGAATATGCTTACACAGCCACTCTGTCAATTAACACAGAAAATATCATTGACGTGCTGGCTGCAGCCAGCTATATGCAAATGTTCAGTGTTGCTAGCACCTGCTCAGAGTTCATGAAATCAAGCATTTTATGGAATACACCCAACAGCCAACCGGAAAAGGGTCTCGATGCTGGACAAGAAAATAACTCTAACTGCAATTTCACTTCTCGAGATGGAAGCCTTTCACCCGTGTCGTCAGAGTGCAGCGTGGTAGAAAGAACCATTCCCGTCTGCAGAGAATCCCGGAGAAAGCGCAAAAGCTACATCGTTATGTCACCCGAAAGTCCTGTCAAGTGTAGCACACAGACAAGCTCCCCCCAGATACTGAATTCTTCAGCTTCCTACTCAGAAAATAGAAGTCAACCAGTTGACTCTTCTCTAGCTTTTCCCTGGACTTTTCCTTTTGGAATTGATCGAAGGATTCAGCCTGACAAGGTTAAGCAGGCAGAAAACACCCGGACTTTAGAACTACCTGGCCCATCTGAGACTGACAGAAGAATGGCTGATTTTGTGACTTGTGAGAGCACAAAAACGACCTTGCCTCTGGGTACCGAAGAAGATGTCCGGGTGAAAGTAGAAAGGTTAAGTGATGAGGAGGTGCATGAGGAAGTACCCCAGCCCGTCAGTGCATCTCAGAGTTCACTGAGTGACCAGCAGACAGTGCCAGGAAGTGAACAAGTCCAAGAGGACCTTCTGATTAGTCCACAGTCTTCCTCAATAGGTACAGTGTTTTCTGTTTTTCATGTTGCTATAATCAAATCAGTTCAAGCATTTTTAAGTACTTACTAGATTAAAGTTTTGTGCTGGGTCGTATAGGAAATATTGGGAAGAATAAAGTATAACTGGATTTTTTTTTTAGATGTTGCTACTAGTACTATAATTTTTTAAATAAGTTACGCATTGGGAAAGAAAAATAGTTGAACAATGCCTGATGGGACAAAGATACATACAGGTACATATGAAAGAATTATGAATTACTTCCAATGTAAAAAAACAACAACCAGTTTTTAAAAAGTCCAGTTACTGTTTTATTCTTTATTAAAATATTTACTGAAAACGTAACATGTGCCAAGCATTGGGGATACATGGTTTTAAAAAAAGGGGGGTTTAAGCCCTAACTGGTTTGGCTCAGTGGATAGAGCATCGGCCTGCAGACTGAAAGGTCCCAGGTTCGATTCCAGTCAAGGGCATGTACCTTGGTTGCGGGCACATTCCCAGTAGGGAGTGTGCAGGAAGCAGCTGATCGATGTTTCTCTCTCATTGATGTTTCTAACTCTCTATCCCTCTCCCTTCCTCTCTTTAAAAAGTCAATAAAATATATGGGAAAAAAGGGGGTGTTTAATAGTCTAATTGAGGAATCAGATGTGTAAATCAATGGTTAGTGTTAGGCAAGAGATATGAACAAAGTGTTACAGGTTCACAAAGAAAAAAAAAACAAGTTAATGCTGGGTATTTTTACCTTGGATGTTAAGTGGGAGTTTGCCCAGACAAGGGAATGACATTTCTTTGAAAATGTATCAAAGCATGGAAGTGTGGAAGAATCCTATATAATAAAACCCTAATATGCAAATTGACTGAAAGGCAGAATGACCTGTCACTATGATGCACACTGACCACCAGGGGGCAGATGCTCAATGCAGGAGCTGCTCCCTGATGGTCAGTGTGCTCCCACAGTGGGAGTGCCACTCTGCCAGAAGCCGGGCTCACAGATGGCGAGCACAGCCAGCAGTGGCGGGAGCCTCTCCCGCCTTCATGGCAGCACTGAGGATGTCCATCAGTCGAACATCCCCTGAGGGCTCCCGGACTGCGAGAGGGCGCAGGCCAGGCTGAGGGACACACACCCCTTCCTCCTCCCCCCCCCCCTCTCCCCAGTGCACGAATTTCATGCATCAGGCCTCTAGTACAGCAGTTCCCAACCTGTGGGTCGCGACCCCTTTGGGGGTCGAACGACCCTTTCACAGGGGTCGCCCAAGACCATCGGAAAACATATATAATTACATATTGTTTTTGTGATTAATCACTATGCTTTAATTATGTTCAATTTGTAACAATGAAATTGGGGGTCATCACAACATGAGGAACTGTATTAAAGGGTCGTGGCATTAGGAAGGTTGAGAACCACTGCTCTAGTAGAAAATAATAGGAGGTAAGATAAAATGAGTGGTTGAGAGCATGTTGTGAAGAGCTTTGAACACTGGTTTCAGTTAGGATTGCATTCAATGGCTTAAACCAAACAGGATTTTATTTTTTATTGCATAAAATGTTAGGAAATGGGAAGTCCAACCCTTGCCAGTGTGGCTCAGCAGTTAGATTTTACCTGTGGTTTTTGTTGTTGTTTTAAGATTTTTAAAATTGATTTTTAGAGAGAGAGAGGAGAGAGGAGAGAGAAAAAAACATCGATGTGAAAGTGAAACATCAGTCTGCTGCCTCCTGCACATTCCGTATTGGGGATCAAGCCCGCAATCCCGGGCATGTTGAATTGGCAACCTTTTAATGCATGGAATAAGCCCAACCAACTGAGCCACACCCGCCAAGGCAGATTTTTACCTGTTCTTTGTAAGTTCTCTTTATTACCATTTGCCCACCAAAAGGCTATAAAATCTAACACCCCCAGTTTAGGGCAAACAGAAGCACTAAATATAGCAAATAGAAAAAGTAAGTTTGGGTTGGGTTTTGCTACTCAGAAAGGTAACTAACTATCAATATCTGGTAGAGTTCAAGAAAAAATTTTATAAGTGAGAAGGACTTTGTGATATTGTTTCATTATTTATCTTGAAATAATTATCTGTAGCACCAATGACAGACATATAAATAGTTCTAGATAATCCACAGTTTATTATCTTAACAAAGAAATTCAGTTTTAACATACAGGTCCTAGAGAGGATTTATCTTACTACCATCAAGGCTTTGGCAGTACATGGAGGTTAAGTGTGTTTATAAGTGCTTTGATAATTATAGTTTTAATTTTTTTAATTTTTCTTGAAGTTTGTGGATAAAGACAGTGTAGAGTCTTGAGTAAAAGATAAAGCTTATGGAGTCTTGTTTTTGTTTTTAGCAGTATCAGTGTAATGTGTGGTTGTGCTACCGGAGAAATAGGTTGGGATTTCCCTAGTCAGGAATACAGAATCTAGTAACTTTTTTCCTGCCATTACAACATAGATCTTTAGCATAAGAAAGCCTCCATACACCCTAGAAATAAATAAATAATAAGCAAACAAACTCATGGCTTCATTGGAGGTAAAGGTGTCCCCTAATGCTTGGTTCCTATCCTTGGTGCCTCCTATCCTTGGAAGCCATACATTGGAAACATCCACTGCATCAACCCTTTAAAATCTCCACCTCGGTGTTGGTCCAGTGTTGATGATGCATCTCAGATGAACACTCTTGTTCCTGTCAGAACCGCCCCCCTCCCAGATGGCCTCCTGAAAATTATCCTTGGGAAATTGAGTCAGTTGAAAGATAGTATAACACTAAATGTTACACGAAAGAAGCAGATGTTGGCCTGGAAGAGGTGCAGTTTTAGATTGAGATGACTCAGGAGAACTGCAATGGCCCATAAGATTAATGCTTGTGCCCTACGTGCCCGGGTTGCGGGCTCGATCCCCAGTAGGGAGTGTGCAGGAGGCAGCTGATAAATGATTCTCTCTCATCATTGATGTTTCTATCCCTCTCTCCCTTTCCCTCCCTCCTTTTGAAATCAATAACATATTTTTTTTAAAAATAACGCTTGTGCCCTGGCCAGTGTGGCTGAGTGGTAGAGCGTTGGCCCATACACCAAAGGGTATTGGGTTTGATTCCTGCATTGCAGGTTCTTTCCTTACCCCCAGGGCGAGTGTGTGGGAGACAACCAATCGATGTGTCAGATTGGTGTTCCTCTCTCCCTCTCCCCCTCTGCCCCTCTCACTCTCCTCCTCCCTCTCCCTACCCCTCCCCCTCTTCCTCTCCCTTTCCCTCTCCCTCATCCTTTTCCCTCCCACCCTCCCTTCTACTCTCTCTAAAAATCAATGAAAAGGGTATCAACAACAACAAAAAGAATAATGCTTGTGTAAATTTCTATTTCCAGTGCTTGGCTAAAGATCAGTTGTCATTGATCAGGGACCAGACAAAACCTCCTGCCTGCTTGTGGGCATATGACACCAAATAAGCAAAGTAGTTGTGAGGACAAAGACAAAATTGAAGAAGTCTTTATAAGGCTCTTTTAAAAAAAACAAAAAACTTTTTGGTTAATATTTTTTTATTGATTTTAGGGAGGAGGGAAGAAAGAAAAAAACAAACATCCATCAGCTGCCTCCTGCACGCCCCCTGCTGGGGATAGATCTCACAGACCAGGTGTGTGCCCTGACCAGGAATCGAACTGGTGACCTTTCAGTGTATGGGACGACTCTCAACCAACTGAGCCATCAGCCAGGGCATAAGATTCTTTTCTAAACATCTTCATTAAAATACATCTTACAGCCTTAGCTGGTTTGGCTCAATGGGTAGAGCGTTGGCCTGCAGACCAAAAGGTCCCAGGTTCAATTCCGGTCAAGAGCGTGTACTTGGTTGCAGGCTCCTCCCCAGCCCGGGCTCTGGTCGGGGCGTATGCAGGAGGCAACCAATTGATGTTTTTCTCTCACATAGATGTTTCTCTCTGTCTTTCCCTCTCTCTTCCACTCTCTCTAAAAATCAGTGGAAAAATATCCTCAGATGAGGATTTTTAAAAAAACCCACAACTTAATATTATAAAATTCACCCATTTAAAGTGTATCCTATAGTAGTTTTAAGTACATTCACAGAGTTGTGCAACCATTCTCACAATCTAAGTTTATAATGTTTTCATCACCCTAAAAAGAAACCATGTGCCCCTGGACAGCGACTCACTTCTGTCCCACAGCCAGCTTTAGGCAACCACTAATATACTCTCTATAAATTTGCCTATTCTGGGTATTTCATATAAATGCAGTCATGCAATGTGTGGTCTTTTCTAAGTGGCTTCTGTTAATTTCCATCATATTTTCAGATTTGTCTGCATCATACCTCTCAAAGTTTTGAAATGTTTTCACTAAGAGTGAATGTAAAACAAGAGACCTTATGAATTTAGTCTCCAGGCCCAGTTCAGATGGACTAATTGGGACTGTGTCCATCCTTTCATTTTAATCTATTCCTCTTGGAAACAAGGGTCAACACAATAGGGAGACATCATAGGAGCAGGTATTAGGAGGTTGGAAAATAGTTCCAGCAGGGAACAATGACAAATCTGATTGGATAGCCAAAATATTCCCAAAAGGCTTTTTCTAGGAAAACAAAATATACCCAATACTTCAGTTAAATATTTGAGCTCAATTAGGCCTGAATTTACCTCCCAGCTAAGGGCAGGTTATACCTCAAAAGGAATTTTATTTTTTTAAGTATATTTTATTGATTTTTCACAGAGAGGAAGGGAGAGGGATAGAGAGTTAGAAACATCAATGAGAGAAAAATCAATCAGTTGCCTCCTGCACACCCCCTATTGGGGATGTGCCCGCAACCAAGGTACATGCCCTTGACCGGAATCGAACCTGGGACCCTGAGTCCGCAGGCCGACGCTCTATCCACTGAGCCAAACCGGTTAGGGCAGGAATTTTATTTTTTAATGTTTTTACTTTATTTTTATTATACTATTACAGATGTCCCTATCTCTCTGGCCATCACCACACTATTGTCTGTCTATGGATTATGTATATATGTTATTTGGCTAATTCT